AGCGATTTATAGCATATTGAACTGCACATCGCGAGCACTTCACTTCTCGGGCTATTTTAACCTGAGACATGCCTTGTTCATGTAAAATCTTAATTCTTAGACGCTGTTCAGCACTAAGTTCAGATTTTTTCGGCATGATTAACACGTTAAATGTTAGTCTTTAGAATTGTGATAGGAATAGTTGCGTAGAAGACGTGTATGTTCACTGCAAGCACTGATAACACACTATAACCCGAAACGCAAAAAACGCAAATTCGAAGAAACACCGCTTAGGAGCACACCTGGATGTCATAAATATTTTCTTTTATCTTAATTTTGGTTAAAAATTGCCGCTAATACAATAGCTAAACCATAAAACACACACTTGACCGCTATCTAATGAGATAGTGACTAACAATAGGGGTGCCTAATACTTTTGCACGCAGCTGTAGGAACAATAGAATGTAACAAGTCATTCGTTCGCGAGTGAATGAATGTCTTTTGAATGACGGAACGGGAATGAGTGATGGACAAAACAGAGGTCACTAGGTCGATTACAGACGGCTGGCTTCATTAGATGGTTTTTCTTAATTTAAGGGTTTGTTTTGATATCACGCGTGTAGACAGCCTTTTTGTTTCTGTTACATTTCTTGTGTAGACTACATTTCTTATTGTATATGTTTTAATTCTTGTTCCTACAATTTTATAGCTACATTTTAAGCATTACGTTCTGCGGCTAGGACCCGCATTACGTTTTAGTATTCTTATTACGTCTGTATTATCAACTAACACATATATATATTGTATATGACAATTTAATGACAGAAAAACTGTCAAGATACTATTCTGACAGATCTTTTTTTTTAAAAGGCTTCATCCGCACTGGAATCGTGGAATATTTCAACGTTTTTAATCTTAAATTTTACACTCAATTCCATTCCTAAGCCTTTTCTCTGAATTTTTTTGTTCTAAAGAATAAAATTACTAACAAATCATCTATTAATTTAGTTATATGTATATTAGAAGAATATTTGTATAAGCCCTAAAATACAATAGATGATTAAAGAAAAATGTTCCTAATCTATTTCTATATCTAAGTATTATATATGTATATATAATAAACATGAATAATTTCACATTTTTCTATATATATATATATATATATATATATATATATATATATATATATATATATATATATATATATATATATATATATATATATAATCTATCAGACGTCACTAAATACTCGATCGAGCTAAGTTCAGCCTTCAGAGCTGTCTACTCCGACACTTGACAGGTGGGAAAGCTAAATAACATAATCCCACGTACAGACCAAATATATATATATAAGGATAAAGATAAAATTAAATACTATTTATATAAAATATTATAAGAATAGGGTAATTAATATTATCTATACTAATATTATAAAGCTGAAGAGTTTGTTTGTTTGTTTGTTTGTTTGTTTGTTTGTTTGTTTGAAAGCGCTAATCTCCGAAACTACTGGTTCGAATTGAATAATTCTTTTTGTGTTGGATAGTCCAGTTATTGAGGAAGGCTGTAGGCTATATAACATCACGCTACGACCAATAGGAGCAAAGATATAGTGGTAAATGTGTAAAAAACGGGAGAAATTATTTCATCTTTGAAGCCTTCCGTTGCGTGCGCCGTGAAAACGGTTCAAGATACACAAAAAATATGTATGAAAGAATAATAGCTCCTTTAATGATCTAAAAACAATCCGCGACAGCATATGTCTATCATTTAAGATTAACTCACAAAAACCGTTTTTATGGTACCTAATTTGATCGAAATAATTTGTTTAAGTTGGATCAACATAATAATATTAATCTTTATTCAAATAAAAGAATAAATATGTATATTGTTGGTTAAGAGTACTTCATTGTGAATAAAAAAAACATAGGTTTTATCCTGACAATTCTACGGGAACTCGACCATTCCGAAAACCCCGCAAGAACAGGAACTATGTGGGAAGAACCAAAAATCTGCCGTAAGTCACTATTCCACGCGGACGGAGTCGCGGCAAAAGCTAGTTACTAATAATTTTAATAAAATTTAAAATATATTTTTTTATAATTCAAATTTGGAATTATAATAAAAATTTGTGAAGTCTATTAAAAAAATAATATAAAGTATATAATTCATGGCTGAATATTGTTGACTTGTGTCATTTGAATTAAAAAAAAAATAGGTGTCAAATTATTTGTCACCAGGTCCGCTTATATGTTTGTGTATGTATTGAATGTGCAACATATCTATGTATAGATGTATATAACACACACGTATCGCATTACATGTATACACGAATTGTAGAAGCCGAGGTTACATAAGTCTATATATATCTATGTTTAGTACATAGGGTAGGCTGCAAGGTCGACCGGCGCCTCATTGGTCACTCCTTGGTAGATTTGTATGGATACGGCATTTATTATAATACTTTAAATGCATATCAATATTAGAATGCTGACTTGAGTTTTATGACCTGCTTTTTGTGTCTTAAATAAGTTCAGTTTAAATTTAAATATATATTGAACATAGTTATGATCGTACATATTAATCTGTATCTAAAATTTGTATGAAATTAATTTTAATTAGAGAATGAAATGTTACGTAACTTAACAAAGAAGCCAAAATGTTATTAAACGTCTTATCCATGTTATGTAGCAGTAAGTGTCATTTGAGACACCGCCATTTTGCAAGTCGAGCCGCCCGCCGGGAAAACTGACTTTGGCGCCAATTTCGATGCGGCAACGTCTGCTATGCGACCGCTTTCGGATGGTGGCCACTCTTAAGAATTCCCACATATTTAAAACACATTCTCAAATCGGTCAGATTATACAATTACCATTTTTACTAGCTGTAAGTGCATCTACAGCCTTGGCATGCACGACTTGACCGTTTTAAACGAACCCCACGCAGCAATAAATCATATGAATCTATGTGTCAATATATACTGGTGTTATGTGTGTGTTAAAAAAGTTACCTTTGGTAAAACGTGTTGTAGCAGTGCGCCAGCTTTACGCTTGGCGGCCATCTTCGAGTTATATTTTTTTGAACAGCACTTCGTCCTTTGGTTAAACTGTCACTGACAATGGAAATTCAATTACGTATTCCCATTTTGTAGATGACTGGATATTCTAAAAGATTTATTGTTTTAATACTTCGATTGCGCTTACATTATTAGTATAAACATAAACAAAGAAATAAAAAAATACTAAAGAATTGTACGTTTTGAAATAGAGAATGATACATGACGATTGTCATGTGACGTATATCAAGATAAACAGAAAGTCATAAATATAACGATTTGAAGAGCAAGGGAGAACTCAACGCACGTTGCTTAAAGTTACGTAGGTCAGTCCTGTGTGGGGTTCCGTGGAAAATAAAAAAAATAAGACCAGTTAATGCAAAATTATCTCTACAGCGTTCGAATAAAGATCAAACTTCCGCGAAATCTAGATCCAGATATAGTTAGTAGAAAGCATTTTCTTGGAAAACAAAGCTAACTTCTAAATAGTTGGAAGCGATTTGGGATGCACATATCTGTGTAATGTGATCGTGCCAAGTTTCTTGTGGTAATTTCCCATGAAATCCTATACGGAACCTGTTATAATGTCCATTTTTCGAAAAACATTTCTGCGTAGCGTACCCCTATTTGTTCAATACTTTTCAATGATCATTGTTTGCTACCGTTAAATACACGTACGAATAGAAATGGGGTGATTACAGACGTTTCGGCCGCTTTTGACTGATTAATATACCGTTTGTTATATTTTAATTGCCTGTAACTCAGATATTAATAGCTGTTTATTTGTTATGATGTTTTTTTTAAATGAGTTTTTTCGTTTGATATTATAGAAGGGGTATGAATTAAAATTACACGTACATACGCCTGTTTCTGAGAAAAAAAAAACTGGTAACCAGTATTGAGGTGCTTCGAACAGATTAAATCGCGAAGGGCCACTCATTCTTATGCAGTACGCGCTAGCAATGCGGAGGTTTTCAATCACGGATGCAGTTTTCCTATAGCGCGGTATTTGCAAAAACCCCATCAGAAATGATACGATAATTAAATTATCAATAATATATGGATAATATTAAGCAATTAATTGAGTTTAAGTGAGGAAGCTGTATCTTTAGCGGCTAGCGGTCATGTAGTCCGTATTTCTCATGATAAGAACAAGGCCATGTAATAGCTTTTACAACGCTACTCGCTCATAACTGTTCTGCACGCCATTCAATTATATTGATACTTGTTTTAAAGTTTTTTCTGTGTTAACAAATCAGGGATAATTACGAAATTAACTAAAAAATCACATGAAGTTAGTATTAGGTAAATATATGCTTAAATATATCAAGAATAACAATTATATCATATTAAAACTGTTAAAACTCAGGACCGTATCTTATAATATTGACAATTAAATAAAATATTAATTATAACTTTAATATAGTATTACATTCGGCTATCTGCAATAATCTCCATTAATACAAGGTAATCATTAATATTCAACATACAATGATTACTCAGTATATATTTTTTAATAACTTTTCATAGTTTGTTTATTTAGAAGCAGTGTTTTCGCCAGCGAGTTCTGTTATCAGCGTAAAAACCGTAAACGATTTGATTAGTTCGACTCGCGGCTGCACTCCAAAATTACTTTTAAACTTGATATCAATACTAGATTTAAATACTCTAGCTACATGCTGCCCTGGTAACAGTCATCAAAGACACTAAGGTATATAATAGTTATTATCCCTCTAAAGTGTTTCGTAAATTAAACAGTATGAAAATGAATCTAAGATGACAATCAAGGCTAACCGACAAACTATTGAATATTTAAAAGTACAGGAAACTAGACTTGAATACTTAAGGATCGAGTGAATTCAAAAACAATGGCTCGTTACTTAGCGTGACAAAGAGAACTTAGCTAAGACAACCTCATCGATGGGCTAATTGCATTTTTTTGCAGTCACCGCGTAATGTCAAGGCTCACTTACTCATCAAGAGTAACTATGTCCATTTCTGTGTACAGAACAGAATAACACAAATATTTTCAAATAATATAAATAAAAACTATACGTAAACGCAATCGAAGCACTACAACAAACCTTAAATTCACAACAAATAATACGATTTTTAGTTTAAGATATCGAGTTTCGCGTGTAAGTTGTAGGAGCGCGACGTACACCCGCACGGTAGGGCTTCCGAACGCACACTGGCGACTGATCTGACGGTTAGTGCGTTCGGTAATACTTGTCCGGCCTGCCTGCCTCCATCCCCCCGGCCCCATACCGAAATGCATCAATGACACTCCAAACACGCACATCGGTTCGCGGACAATCGATGGAAAAAACTACCGGCTAATAAATATACCAGCTCTAGGATTATGATGCCCTGGTACATTAGGCTCGGCTGATTGCTGTGTGTTGGTCGGTTGTACGTGAAAAAAAACGAATTGCCGGCCAGCAAATCAAATATGAAAATTAAAAAAAAAAATAACAAAAACGTTCGAAAATATGAATTCAAAAATTTACACAATCGATTTCATAATTAATTATAATCGTCTATTTGAAAAAAAATTGCAAGATTATTATTACACAAGAGTAATAATCAGCAAAGTTAATGCCAATTAGGAAAATCAATTTAAGCGACTCACGCTTGATTACAAATTGATAATGACGTAATTACAGCAACACATCAGAGCCGTATGTAGTACATAAGGTGATATATAATATCAGATCAGGTCAGACAATTCGACGGGTATGTTTTCCAATTACACGCATTGTGTTGCACTCTGATGAAAAACTATGGACCATGATAGACTATTTTCAACAAATAAAACACAACAATACACAGATTTTTCGTTACATTAATTGAATTCTAATTAGTTTTTTAGTATTAGCTTATCTTAATTTCTTTATACAATGTTTTTGCGTAATAATACGTTCTTTTATATGTATGTTTTATCTTCTAGATTATGTTAGAAATTAACGCATCTTAGTTGATTCTGGCTAACGATTACCTCCTACAGTTCCTGGATGGACGAACTTAAGATTTAGTTCAAATCACATAATACTAGTTAGGCTTCGTTTGCGTCTTAAATTAACACTCAATTTCGGCTAAACTTTATCTGTTACATTTAAAACAAATTTGGATTCTATTTGAAGATAATATCCTTTCAAAACATTCAAATCTATATGATTGATCCAGAAACTATTTTGTGAGTGAAACCAGAAGTACATGTAGCTATACATGTATAGACGACGTTAACTTCAAGTAGGGGATCCGATCTCTGGAGAGGAATTGGTAATTACCACCAGGTAAGCATCCCCTGGAGAATACATCTTGACATGTACCAACAATAAATAAAGGATCTATACATACAACACATGTCTAACTAACAAATGTTTTGTAATTAATGTTAAAATAACAAAGAAATTAACATATCGGCAGTAAAAATAACGTTATTACTGACTTATTTGTAGGCAAAACATTCTCAAGTATAGAGAACTACAAACAGGTATGATTCGGTGTCATTTTAGTTTGATACACTTATAGTTGTTATATTCTATTGAAACACCAATTTACCACTCCAATATCTTCATTCAGTGACGTGTGAACAGCCATGTACAAACATACCTAACAACTTACTTCAACTACATATATATACTGCAGGATGACGCGGAACGAGTGCCCAATGAGACATTTCACGATGTTACTGTTCTATGAAATAAGATGTACGTATGACTGATGGCTTTCAATAGATAGGTAACTCACTTTAGTTGGACTATAGAAGTAACTTAAAACATACATTCATTATTAATAGTCACACAAATGTTTATGATAAAATAAGAATTAAGAATAACTTCAGACTAAAGCAGAGCAAACAAAATGTATTAGCAATATTGAAACAATTCTAAATGGTAATTTTTCAAATCGCCCGAGATCGCATTACAGTCAGCGACGCACACATATGTAACAGATTACAATAATTACTGCTAAGGTGGCTTATTCAAGACGTGCGTGCGTAAATCATTTATGTCGCCAACAGCATCTCTATCGTTATAGTGATAAGGTTTACTTTCCTATAACGGAAATACCTATTCATAATGACCGGGTTTCGGTAGTATGGAATCTCATATTACGATACGATTCTCTATAGATTGAATATGTTGAATATATTAACGGTACACAGATAGGACTGACTAATTATTATACTGTACTTAGAAATTATATTTTTTTAGCACTGATTAATTTTTTTTTGTATGTAAATTCCCGGAACGAAAACAAGGCAGCGGATATATTGAAAGACTTTATTTATTAAGTACTCCCATAAGGTCGCATTCAAAACGCGGCATTAGAGATAGTTTATTTTTTTAATCATGTACTTTTTTTCTGCAAATTCCAATTTAGAAAATAAACACCACCCTCGCCAGGGGTACCAGGGTGACATAATGCTGCGGCAGTTAATTAGTGTGAGGGCGCGCCGGCGGGCGCAGCGCGGGCGCGCCGTTTAGAGGAAATTGTCGTTTTTATACGGCCTCCCCACGAACATTCGAATAATGAAACAACATAGTTAGACGTCTTACAAACACATGTCGCCCTGGTTGTAACGTACATATTAATATCACTGTCCGACAGCTCCTACGACGACAGCGAACATAAACCATTTTATTATGTGGAGGTAGATATGTATTTTATATATTGTATGAAAGATAAGCGTCAGATTTATGAATAACTTGTAATGACTTACATCAATAAACTTACTTTACTTCAATCTTACAAATTTGACACACAGACCAGATATGCCCTATGTAAAAATTATTCTCAAATAAAAATTTCATGGACCTAAAAATGTATGTGCACAGCATTATTTGAAACTTAAACTTATGTAAGTGACAATTGGTTTTTAATTATTTTTATTAATATTGTCCAAGATGCTCGAATCCATCACCCTTATCATTATCATTATTATTATGTATCGACGTCGTAAAAGTTCCAAGCTCAGTTTTTATTTTATTGTCCTCAGCCTCAGCCCTCAGCCATACAAATAATAAACACGAAAGCCATAACCGAACATTGCACTAAAGTACCAGGATAGCATAACCACATCAGATATAGCCTCGTTCATAGCATAATGCGACCGCCGTCGGGTCCGCTGTTAACCGTCTAGCGCAGCTAAAACCGAGCGATCCGGTTTTATACACACCCCCTATAAAAGCAAAAGGACCGGGTATGGTCCCGGATAAGTGGGGGCCTGTATCTTTATATCTGCCCCCCTGCGGCCTCCACTAGGGCATTATGACCGGGGGGTTCTTTGGACAGCTAAAAGAAATATCCGGTTGCCTTATCCGGGCAGCGGGTAGGCGGTAATTCCTCTTCTAAGTATGCTTTAGATTTTTACGAAGGTCCCTCCTCTTGTACTAACATACGGATATTTAATTAGACTAATTATTGTTACAATTCGACTCGACTCACAAAAGCTAAGACTTCAAGCGCGAAATATATTAAACACTCATAACATTTAGTAGAAAATAAATAATAAAACTACTTTATCCAGTCAGATGTAGGAAATAGTCTGAACTCCATTGAAAATTCCTCAATACTTGATGAATACTAAACATTTTAGAACTAATCTCCTGATGATTTCTGCTCTCCTGATATATTTGAACTTTAAAATTAACCCTTTAAACGCCTAGTAGCCTAACTTACTTACATTGAGTGAAAACTAGGAAGCAAATTAATTTAATTTCACAAAATTTCAATAAAAGGTATTTAAAATAAAATACTTTCTTTTTTTTTTCCCTTTCATATACAACAACTTTAAAACCGTTGTCAAGTAAAAGACATCAACGTGTTGGTTCTTTAAATAGCGTCTTGTAAAACAAATATTCAGTTATGGAGCATTCTAAAGTAATAATTACATTTTTATTATATATAATATAGTACAGTTCCAACACTTGCGCAAGGTAACGACAATAAACTAATTATACGTGTTTTATTACATCTTTCATTGGCTTTAAATTGTTAGGCTGATAAAAATTAAATTAATCATTTTTTCTAGCTCTCACAGAGCAATAATAATAATATAAGAGAATTATATTATTTAAAACGTGATAGATAGTCTGAGCCACTAAATCAGTAGACGGTCTGAAATTTCAAAGATATCGCCAACTAATCGGGGGCGACTTGAATTTTGGGGTTTCCCGCTAAAGTTCGCTGAAAGTCGTCCTCCAAGCCCGCCGTGGGGGTGTGTGGAGGTGTGTGGGGGTGTGGGGAGGCCATGGTATCAAAGTTTGCCCTCCTCGGTGGCTATTCCGTAGGCGGGAAGGCTGCTACTTTGTTCGCCTTTTGGCTCGTGACATAGGCACTTAAGGGACGTACACACGCTCGGCAACGCTAAAGTACCGCTATATGAACTTGCACGGTGTTTAATACGTGCTTATATTTACAGTATATGATGATGGGATCTTTAAAATATAACGTCACGTGTTATTCGCACCTTGTAGTCGATGGCGCCGGTTATAAATATAGTTCTAACGACCACAGGCTTACTGTTGTTCATTCACTAAATAATTTATATGATTCCTATGTTTAATTAAATTCTGTTTATCCAGCTACAACTTTTTTGTTTTTTTGTATCTGTCACGTTTCATTTCTAGCAATAAATATGTTTTTATTTTCTTAGAACAAAAATTAATTACAAAACTTTTCTAATCATTAGTAAATAACTATTTAATATACAAACTAAACTTACAACGAGATACACTATCTTAATGGTCATAGTTATCATAGAATCATTCTGATATACATAATTTTTCGTATATAATTTATTTTCAACAAGAGATTTCATTCACGCAGAATTAACTATTAGTTGAGAACATGACATAAGATCCTTATATACTCGTGTACATAGTGAAGACAGAACATAAACATATGTATAATATAGCGATTAATACATAATGTTAAGGGTGTAACTCTCCCGAGATCTATCCGACCCAGCCTAATCCTCAAAGTTTTATACAACCTTAAACCTACATAAAGGTCAAAACGCTGAAAATGGGATATATAGGTCCCTAACACGAATTTCCCTCAAAGGGTCTAACAGACCCAAAAAAGTATATAACCCGTAGGTACCAGGGGCCCATATAAGTGAGGCGTCTTGTGCCTTCGAGCCAGGGAAATGTTAAGAAGGGTCCGGGAGGGTCGCCTCCCTGCTGGGGAGGGTGTTGAGGAAAAAATTCAGACGACCGTACCAAGGGTACGACCCGTCTGCGTAATTAGTGAGGAGAGATGGAATAAGTCGATAAACTTTACTTATATATA